GGCCTTGATGATACAATTACATCCTGCTGTGTTCACCATGAAGCTAACTGCAGATCTGTCAGAAGGGCCTGTGTGAACAACAGACATCTGACTTCCTACTTGTGGAACAGTATATTAAAGGAGCCTGTTAACATGTAGTTTAAAACTCAGAAGAAACTCTGAACAGCTGAAACGCCTTATAAATAGCACAGACCCAGAGGAAGTGCAAACGTCTGCATTGTGAATTGTAGATCTTAATTACCGACAATGGCTGCTACAGCAAGGAGCACGGAAAGAAAGTGAAACAGTTGTACTGTTCATGGTTGGCAATAATTCTTCAGGAAAATATTTACTATCAATCAGTTATGAGAAAAGGGACTCTGTGCTCGTAAAACAGCACGTTGCTTCTCATACCAGGACCATTTTGCTTCAGCATAATCTGAATTTAAACAGCTTGTTTCCTGCGGATATAATTTTGGAAATAAATAAAACAAGTCTTCTATCAAAATCCGGAGTGAGTGGGAAGAAACATCACATCTTTCTGTCTCAGTCAGATTCAAACAGATTATTAGTCTCAAGTAAAAAACAGTAATAACAAACAACAGAAATACAGAATGAACACAAGACCACTGAATGGACTTATTCTGAACAAAGACAGAATTTTTCCAATCTAGGCCAGGAATCAAGGTAGAGGTATCCTAACAACTCAATTTTAACTGTACATGTTTATGGAAGGGGTGTGAGGTATAAACGTAAGTTATGGAAAAGTCTTGAACTAAAATTTTCTGTAGTATTTCAATAAAGTCAATAATAAGATAACATAAAAAATAATGTTCTCAGTTTTCTTTCATAATTAAAAACATGAAGGTTGACAATTAGGTGCAATGTGATTATAGATTTTAAAGACTGAACTGACAGTCAATAATGACTGTCCATTTAAAACGACAATAAATACAGAGCTCATCATGACTCCCACACAAATCTCATAAATGTGAGGGCTATGAGCAGATAAGATGCTTGAAAAGCAAACTAGCCGGGAGTGGTGGCGCACACCTTTTCATCCCAGCACTTGGGAGGCAGAGGCAGGTGGGTTTCTGTGAGTTCAAGGACAGTCTGGTCTACATAGCCAGAGCTACATCAGACAGACAGACAGACAGATAGACTGACAGACAGACAAAAAGGGCAAACTATATGCAAGACACTTCATGGCTTCGAATATTACCTGGACCCCTCTCCACTTTCATCTGTAGTGTTTCTTTCAAGCTGAAGACCCAGGAGACTGCTGTCAACCTAAGGTGGCTTATGAAGCAGCTGTGCTTTCTTACACTTTACCGAGAATTAAAGGGAGAGTCCTTTCCATTCAGGAACTGCAAGGCTACCGGGTAACTGGCAGAGGAAAGCTATACATAAAATGCTACAGAGTTCATCCCTGCTTTTGAGAAGGACCAATGTCTTCTGTAAAATGTAAATAAGTAATATTTAATAAAAAGGTGCATGACTACAATTAGTATTTATACCCAACCCATAATTACTGACTGAAATTCAGTTGCTTTGAACTGTAAAAGGAAAAAAAAGCTAGCTTCACTGTATTACAGTGGCTCTCACATGGAGACAGCGCAACATGCAGGCGACACTGGATCACAGTTTGAATCAGTATCAGACACTTGTACCAGATTCTGAAGGCAAGCCTCACAGTCACGTCACTGGCAGATAAAGCTACTGTAAGAACTAAAGATGAAGAGCAAGAAATAGAGAAATGGTCACAGATCAACAAAAATAACTTTGAGTCATTTTTCCAAAGGTCAATCAGTAAATGAGGCCAGGAGAGGCAGCGTGAAATCACGAGACAGATAGAACACGTTTAGCAGTAAGAAAGGAAAACTCACTGTTGCCATGCTAGTGGAGGCTGCTATTGTAGTAAACATTTTCGCAGTTACATATTTTTATTTGATGATTTGGCTCAAATTTGAAGCAACGAACTAGAAGACAGGATGTGGGCCAATAAAAGGAACCAGGAAGTTGGTTGTGTTCCAACTGGAAATTATAGAAATCATTATTCACTTAGAGTGGTTAAGGGGACAATGAAAGAAAATAGGTGTCAGAATAATGTTAAAACAAGCAAGAATGGGATGAGAAGGTCACCATCTGGGAGCAAGTGAAAGAGACTGATTTCCTCACCCAAGAGCATGGAAGAAATTACACCACCATGCCAGATGCCGGAAGATTTCTAACCGTGTGCCACTAAAGTAGAAGGTGGAAAAAGAGACAAAACAACAACAAAGAGCAAACCCACACCACATTGCACAGATACACAGCAACATGGGGAAGGAGTGTAGGAACACTGGCTTCAAGTACATGAAGACAAAAGGAACAGATGCTCAGTTGGCCAGCTCTCAATGAAACTCATTAAAACTGTCACCCTGTCCTTGGATTGGTGCTCAGGCTAAGTTTTTGCCTTGTTTAGCCAGAAGTAACTCACTTGTGATGAAATGAGAGCAGCGTGTCTGAAAAAAGGATTGAAAGAATATTTTTTTTTTTTGGATCCCTGTCTCCAGACACCAATGCTAAATATAAAACAGGGCCAAGTAGCACTTAGAAATTATTACTAAGTAACTGAAGAGTAAGTGTAAATTATGTTACTCGGTTTTTGTTTTTGTAGAAAATTAAGATCTGACCTTAAGACACAATTTGATGAACCTACCTTTTGTAGTTATAATCTAAAATAAATTCTGACATTTCTCATTGGCTAATTCCAATGGCTATAAACTGTATGTTTTCAGCAAAGAAAGCAAAACCAGAGATTACCATGTGTTTTAGGAAATATAATAAAAATTATTGTTGCTCCTATATCCTGAACTACCTAATTGTGAACAGAGTCTTCATGAACAGAGTTAGAACCCTAAGTAAATCTATGAATGGATTAATGAGAGATCCCAGAGGGCTTGATCATTCCTTCCATCCCGAGATTATAGAAAGGCTCCATCTATGAAGAAGAGTAAATTTTTTTTTTTTTAAAGACAGGGTTTTTCTGGAGCTTTGGAGCCTGTCCTGGAACTAGCTCTTGCAGACCAGGCTGGCCTTGAACCTGAGATCCATCAGCCTCTGCCTCCCAAGTGCTGGGATTAAAGGTGTGCGCCTGGCAAGAGTGAACTTTCAACTAGACAGTAAATCTACTGTCACAATGATCTTCCCATTTGTAGACTACAGAAAAATACGTTATTATTTATAAGCTATCTTGTTTTTGTTGTTTGTCTTAAATTTATTTATTATGTATACAGTGTTCTGCCTGCAGCCAGAAGTGGGCACTAGATCACATTATAGATGGTTGTGAGCCTCCATTAAGGTTGCTGGGAATTGAACTCTTGACCTCTGGAAGAATAGTCAGTGTTCTTAACCTCTGAGCCATCTCTCCAGCGTACCTTGTTTATTTTTTGTTATAATAACACAAAAGAAATAAGACAGCTCTTCATAAATTTTATAACAAAGATGAAGTCCACATGACAAAGTCCTATCTCTAATAATGATAGCAAAATGATAATATCTAAAATTGATAGCCTGTACATGACACTTGAGATTAAGTTGAAAGTTGAGAAAGTTGTAAAAAAAAAACCCTAAATGGTAATAAAGATTATTTTTGCATAAAAATGAAGACAAACTCTAGAAATATAATTCATATTGAACATTACCCTCAAGACAGTAAAGCTAACAAAAACTCCCTTCAATCAATCTAGAAAACTGAAAGAAAAATTTTTAAGGTTTCTAATTTAAAAAAAAAATTATTTTCTATGTATGGGTGCTTTGCCTGTCTGTATTTCTGTGTACTATGTGCATGCAATGGTCACAGAGGCCAGAAAAAGACACTGGGTCCCCAGAACTGGAGCTACAGATGATGTGAGCCATCATATGGTGCTGACAAGGAACCTGGGCCCCATACAAGAGCAGTTCTTAACCACTGAGCCATCTCTCTAGCCCCGAAGAGTTCTAATTTTTAATATTATCTTTGTAACTAGAGATACAACACACATTTATACATGAAAGACTTGACCCCTATGTCAGTTAAACACACTTTTCCATTCAAAACCACCAAACATGACATTTCTTTTTCTTTTTTCTTTTTTTTTTAAAGATTTATTTATTTATTATGTATACAACATTCTGCCTTGATGTATGCCCACACGCGAGAGGAGGGCGCCAGATCTTAGTACAGATGGTTGTGAGCCACCATGTGGTTGCTGGGAATTGAATTCAGGACCTCTGGAAGAGCAGCCAGTGCTCTTGATCTCTGAGCCATCTCTCCAGCCCTTCTTTTTCTTTCTTTCTTTCTTTTTTTTTTTTTTAGTTTTTTTTTTTTAGTTTTTTCGAGACAGGGTTTCTCTGTAGCTTTGGAGCCTGTCCTGGCACTAGCTCTTGTAGACCAGGCTGGCCTCGAACTCACAGAGATCCGCCTGCCTCTGCCTCCCGAGTGCTGGGATTAAAGGCGTGCGCCACCACTGCCCGGCTATAACATTTCTTAAGTAGCAGTGGCACCACACACCTGGGATCTCTGCAGCCATCCCACGCTGCTCACACTGCCACCATCAGTGTATTTCTGGTATGCTACACCTACACTTGAAGGAAGTTAGGCAATCCCAGCACTCAGAAGGCAGAAGCAGGCAGATCTTGAGGCAAGCCTGGTCTACACTGTGAGTTTAAGAATAGCCAAGGCTACACAGAGAAACCCTGCCTTGCAAAAAACCAAAAACTAAAACAATGAACAACAACAAAAGTAAGCCACAAAAAAGTTACAAAACAAACTGTTAACAAATTTTACTGATCAGTATGACTGGAAGATTTTGTTGCAGCTGAAGAGCTAGAAAACCCAACTTTCAGTTCACTCTGTATAAAGTAATGAATGCCTGCCTACAGTCTTTCATAAATATACAATCATACGATAGTCTGTGGTAACAACACTGAATAAAGAACTACAGGAGCAGTGCTGCCGCAATGCAGTATAATGTTAAGGGGTGAACACTGTTACTCACTTTGGCCACACAGTTTTCAGTCTTCATAGCAGTGCTTGTCAGACATACTGTCTCTTGGTTTATGCAGAGCCTGGCACAGCTGTTGTAAGTCTGTAGAGACAATTTTCAAGGAAAAAAAAATCACTTTTTTTGTTTTATTTTGTTTTAGATACTGAAATACTGACAATAGCTGTCAGACTCTATTTCTCTAAATCAACATACAATTCTATTTATAAATTTGAGATTTGTGGCTACTGAAGAAACAGTAGAGAAGAGGTAAGGATAGAGCCCATAGAAGGCACATGAACAAATGAGTAGGGATTCATGGTATGAACGAGAGATAGAGGATTGGATACACAACGTTTTTTTAAAATGCAAACTTCAGTCAGATATGGTATAATCCTAGCACTATAGTGGCCAATGTGGGAAGACTGCAAGTCTGAAACTAGCCTGGGCAACACAGTGATACTGTGTCTGAAAATAAAATAAAAATAAGTGTTAAATTTAAGAACCCATGGTCTGTTTAAAATAGTAATTAATTATAAGCCAGACATGATGGCACACAGTGTAAACTATCACTGAGGAGGATTGTGAACTTGAAGCCAGACTAGGCTATACGACCAGTTCCAGATCAGCCTGGAATCCGTAGCTGGACCTTGTTTCAACCACAACAGCAAAAGAAAAAAGAATGAAAGAAAGAGTAGGTCTGAAGTACACTTGGGAGCCTGACCAGAAGAGATTAAAATCAGAACTCTAGGAAATGGACACAAATATTGACTATAGTACAGTTTTCTTTCATGGCAAAAAAATGCTTTAATCCCCTTGCCAACTGACAGGGTTTCTGTGTGTACCCCTGGCTGTCCTGGAACTCAAGAGATCTACCTGCCTCTTTCTCTTAAGAGGTGGGATTAAAGGTGCACACACATGGCCAAAACACATTATTTTATTAATTAGTTAATTAATTAATTTGGTTTTTCGAGACAGGGTTTCACTGTGCTGCCCTGGCTGTCCAAGAACTTTTTACACCAGGATGGCCTCAAACTCACAGATGTCCACCTGTCTCTGCCTCCTGAGTGCTGAGATAAAAGGCGTGTGCCAACACTACACAACCACAGTAAGTGCCCTTAACCTCTGAGCCCTCTCCAGACCCCAGTTATCCCTTTTTGAGACTGAATCTCACAATATAGTCCTGTTTGTGATTAAACTTGTGGCAATCCCTCCTACCTCAGCTTCCTGAGTGTGCTTTCAATTTAAAGTTGTTGTGAATAGTATAGAATTCTAAAACACTGATCATTGTTCTCCACTTGGGTGTGCCATCAGAATCACCTGGGGGGCTTGATGAAGCACAATTTCCAGCAGATGCTGACACTTTTGGCCTGGGAATGGTTTTTGAGAACCAAGGTGATGACATTTAAGCCACAATCACTTAACACTGATTTAAAAAAAAAAAAACCCTATTTTATGAATAAAGAGAAATTTCATACTTACCGAAGTTACAAAGATGTTTGTACTTCCTTAACTCAGCTTCCCCCTAATAGGATATTTCCGAGAACATTTATCAAAACTAAGAAACCGGGGCTGTAGATGTAACACACTTGCCTAGCATGCATTAAACTCTAGGTTCAATCCCCAGCAGCACACAATACTCAGGGAAGATAACTTGGAGCCAAGCATGGTGGCATACACCTACAGACCCTGCACTTCCAGTGCTGATGTAAGAGGATGTAAGAGGATGACTAGTTGAGGCCAACCTGGGCTACATAGAAAGACTCTTTTTGGGAGGGATTTTTTTAAAAAAGATTTTGTGTGTGTGTGTGTGTATGCCTCTGTCTCAGAAGTTGGAAGGGTATGCATGACTCCTCTGGAACAGTAGTTCTCAACCTGTGGGCTGGTGATGGAGGAAGATCATTGGTTAATTAATAAAGAAACTAATTGGCCTGATAGGTTAGAACATAGGTGGGTGGAGTAAACAGAACAGAATACTGGGAGGAAGAGGAAGTGAGGTAAAATGCCTCAGACAGACTCCATAGCTCTCCTCTCTGAGGCAGATGTGATAAAGCTCCGACCCAAGATGGACTTAGGCTAGAATCTCCCTGGTAAGTCACCACCTTGTGATGCTACACACATTAATAGAAATGGGCCAAGCAGTGTTTATATGAATACAGTTTGTGTGTTGTTATTTTGGGGCATAAGCTAGCCAGGTGGCCGGGAACTGGGTAGCAGGAATGCAGCCCACAGCTCCTTCAACAGGCTGGGATGGCCCTTTCACAAGGGCTGCCAAAGACCATCGGAAAACACAGATATTTACGTTACTATTTATAAAGGTAGCGAAGTTACAGTTAGTCAGTAGCAACAAAAATAACTTTATGGTTGGAGGTCACCACCACATGAGGAACTATACTAAAAGGTGGTGGTATTAGGAAGTTGAGAACCATTGCCTTGGAACTACAGGCATTTGTGAGCCACTTAATGTGGGAGCTGGGATCCAAACTTGGATCCTCTGCTAGAGTAGTTAAGTGCTGGGTAAAACCTTCAATCACAAAGGGGTGTGTGTAACGTGACAGTCCATGAAGTGTAGACCTCATGCAGCCTCCTCCTGTCAGCGACTTGGTCTGCATTTATTTGTTGTACCTCCTCAGTCTTCTATAATCTGGCCACAAGTTCTCAGTTTTCCTTGTCTTTCATGACTGACACTTCTAAATCAGTTAATCAATAGGATCTCCCTCAACTCATGATCAGAACGAGGTCATTATTTGAAGGATACAAGTGAGATGACAGGCCCTTCAGTCTCTGGGCATCAAATCAAAACACGTGCTAACAGTTCTTCTGATTTTTGCCTCCACCACTAGGCCATGCTGGGAATGTGTAATTTCCCCTTTGGGAATTATTAAATAGATTACAGAAAATATTTTGAGGGTATGCAAATAGTTTCTACTTTAAATTTCTGCCACTAATTCTAGTAACCTTTGAAGGATCTTGCCTATAGTAACTTTCTAATGGTGAATCTTAAATTTCTTCTTCCTTCTACATTTTTATAAATTGGAATCCTTCTGTAGGGAAGAATTGTGTCTTCTATTTATTTATTCATTCACTTGTCGATTTATAAAAGCATAGACAGAATTCTAAAATTTGCTTTTGGCCAATTATTATTTTTCAAAAAATTGGTAGGAAAAAAATCCCTTTTTCATCTGTAGTCTTAGCTCTCACTAACAATATTATGAAATAAGTCTTCTTTTAAACAAGTTGAAACATTTTCTTGTTTCATTTATCATTTAAATTGAAATTATTTCAAAACATATTAAAAGTATTTTTAAATTTTTTCTTATTTTATGTATATAAGTGTTTTGCCTGCATATACGCATGTACAATGCATGAGTATGTGTGCCTGGTACCTGAATAAGCCAGAATACACCAGAACCCCTGGAACTAGAGTTATGGACAGCTGTAAATTTCCATGTGGGTGCTGGGAACTGAACGTAGGTCTTTTCCAAAAGTATCAGGTGATCTTAACCCCTAAGTCATCTCTCTGGTCCCATTAAAATTATTCTTATGAGGAAAATGCAGTACATTTACACAATGGAGTACTACACAGCAGAAAAAAAACAATGACATCTTGAAATTTGCAGGCAAATGGATAGAGCTAGAAAATATCATATTGAGTGAGGTAACCCAGACCCAGAAGGACAATTATTATATGTACTCACTCCTAAGTGGTTTTTAAACATAAAGCAAAGAAAACCAGCCTACAAATCACAATCCCAGAGAACCTAGACAACAATGAGGACCCCAAGAGAGACAATCTAATCTACATGGGAAGTAGAAAAAGACAAGATCTCCTGAGTAAACTGGGAGCATGGGGACCATGGAAGAGGGTTGAAGGGGAGGGGATCGGCAGGCAGGGGAACAGAGAAAAAGGTAGAGCTCATTAGGTCAATTAAAAATATTCTTATAAAATATTTTTAAAAATACACATGAACTAATAATTATTGAATAAACTAATAAAACTTATGGCAAAGAATTCTGTTTTTTTTTTTTTTTCAGGATGGTTAGTGGTCTATGCTTACAATCCCAGGATTTTGGAATTAGCATGGGCTACATAAACCAAGTCAAAAAGTGGGAGAGAGGTTGGGGATAAAGGAACACAACAAAAGAATTACGATTCCAACAATGGCAGAAATGTTACAATGAGTAAACCTTGCTCTGGATAACAGCTTAACTAAGGCAAAATATATTTCAAACTATGTGAGGCACTGAAAATGGGTGGAAAAGGGAGGGGAGCGCTGAAAAAGAACTACATTGCGTAAGATGTGAGTCTGTTTCTCCTGGAACCACTCAACAATCCAGTCAGCACAAGGTGATGGTAAATACAACAGTCAGGCAAGCCACAGCCAACTGGGTTGAGCTATCAAAGCATGGAGTTCAGAACAGTGGCTGGCAATTGAGAACAGAAATTCCACAGAGGAGAGAACTACAACGAAAGGAAGAGGTATTAGAAAATACATTTAAATTCTCCTCAAATCCATGTTTAACACCCAAACGACATACATTAAGGGAAACTGAGAATTTCAATGGGAAGAGCAGCTGGAAGACTGAAGGAACTGAGCCAAGACTCCAGCTTGTGCCCATGAGATCAGGTAAGAATTTAGATTTGATTCCTACCTCATTAGAGGGATACAGAAAGGATCTCAGGTTTCCCCGTGACACTGAAAAAGACCAGGAGTTGAGATGACAAAATGTTCTAAGGGAGCTGCTTTAGGCATATGGATAAAACAAACACACTCGTCATTTTCAGATGTAAGGCCAAGGAACCACAAGGTCATATTGAACTGTTACTATTTTAAGAAGAGACAGATTCAGAGTTTCTATAATAAATAATTTACACTATCTAATATAAAAATCACCACACTTGTAGAGCAGTCAAGAAGAAGAATATACAAAATGACCTACCTGAATAGCACTAAAGAGGTCTTTAATCTGTTCAATGAAATGATTAAATGAAAGATAATGATCATAATGAGCAAAGAGATGGAGAAACTTTCACCAGAGAAAGGAAAACCTAGAGAGAGACAGTATGGTGGGACATGCCTGTAATTCAAGCCTATAACTTCAGT